CGGCCCTTAGAGACCAAAGCAGAGGACAATTGTCACAGCCGTCATCCAAATGTTCCACAGACTCCATGTTCGCTAAGTTATTAGCTAAGTCAGCATTCACCTGAACATTAACTCCAACTTCCGGCACGGGCAAAATTAACAGAAACTGCAATACCCAAATTCACCCCAGGCAACGCACACAGAATAGAAGAAGAGAAAGGAATTGATTTAGAAACACTATTAAGATGAGGATGTAAAATACGACAATCCTCTTTCAAATGGCCCAAAGAATTACAATGCATACAAAAGTGGGGGATATCATAAAAAATCACTGATTAGATATAACCCGTATTAGGCGAACCCACCCAGATTTTATCAGGAAATTTTTTTGGTAACATCCAATTCCACGAGGATGCGAGCAACTGAAGCCCGAGAACCCGAAGTAGTGGCGGTGTCCAATTTCAGAATTTGGCCGAATATAGAACCCAAACCGAAAAGGATCCGAGGTGAGAAGAGATGAAACCTCCATATAATGAACAGAGACAAGTTCTTTATTAAAGACTATCTACAAAGGTTTAATATCATAAGACATTAGAGGGGATTGTTACCTAGCTTCATCATTCAAAGGATTAAATTCACTTCGAAAAATTTTAGATTTTGTTTTGAAAACCTACACCTCAAAGGGAGAATCCATAAAAACTTTTTTGATTTTTGAGGACAATATAAGTCACCATTAAATATCAATGTCTACAATCACTAAATGAGTAGATTCAAATTTGTAAGGTATGATTTACATTAGCGGAATCAATTCAAGTATGTGATGCTCAATATTTTTTTTCCCTCTCCAATGTTTCACATAAAAAATCTCAATTCTCCTATGAACTATTTATTAGAATGATAAAAGTTATTACATCATGATATTAATATTATCACTCACGATTAATATTTATGATATTTATTGTCATAATATACCCCTAAGTATAGTATTTATTGTCATAATATACCCCTAAATATTATCACTTACGATTAATATATATACACTTTGCTTCTGTAAGTATGTAGATCAATGTTTAACAGTGCAAGTGATGAATACCGATGTAAGATATACTTCAATTAGTATGACTATGCCATTGCTTTGTTTATCGTAATTCATCATTTTTGAACTGTCTAAAGGACAAGAGCTCTTGGAGCTGAGTTTTTGAAGCAGTTATATGCATTGTTATTGAAATTCTTTTAATTAATTCAAGTTTTTATCTGTTACCAGCTTAATTAATATTATCAAATGCAATTATATTTGATTCATATGATGAATCTGATTGATTTAATAAATTGTTGATGTTGTTTTTGGAGAACAAATTTGATTCTGATTTTAGTAGTGATGGTTTGATTGTTATTTGTGGTAATATAATTAATATCCTTTAGATTTAAGTGCCAGAGAAGCAAAATCAAGCCCAATTCCTTGCCTTTAAATATTAATATTAGACTTATTGTTGGATAAAAAAAAAAAAAACTATTCTTTGACAGTTCAAAGACCCAAAATTTATAATAGCACGTACTGAGAAAATTTATGTCTTGTCTTGAAGTTTGAGTTAAAATAATGAAATTATCTAATATAATCAGTTTTATCTGGCCTGGATCAAACTGATTAAAGGTTTTATTGACTTGGCAATGACCATTTTATCAACTAGATGGATTTATGGCTAACTACTATTTTTTTTTTCAAACAAAATTTTATTCCAAACAAGAAAATGAAAATAAACTCTACAAAATTGTCAGCCAAGGACGCAAGAAAAAGAGCCAACCAAATTGACTCAGTAAACGACAAGAGGCTCCCTGCAGTCAAGCACAGACCATCCATTGGTGACAACAACCCACAAACGTAATCATTAGCCCACAACCCACACAGACAACCACCAAGCAGAAGAGTCTTACCACCAAAGTTTCCAACAAGCCAAGGTCAACAAAGTGAAAAGTAGAGGGCTGCCACATCATCATTCAGATCATCAATAAATTCCATAAAATAAAGCGCACGACACCAAAAGCGAGAGGGTAACCCAAAGGCTATTTCTTCTTAGATTTGCTTTTACGTCTTTTGCCACCGCCAGTAGATACTGCTTGATCAACAACACAACCCATAATGAAACTATACATATCATCATTTATCTGCTCATCGAAATCATCACCCTCCCCCCACAAGGAGTGGAATGGGACTCATCCAGCCAATCAGATTGATCCAAAATTGAGTTATTCAACGACAAAGCCAGATGGGCTTTAAATCCTCATTAGACATAACCGAAATCGAAATATCAACATAAGCCTCATTTGCCTTTGACAATGGTGACAAAGTCGGCCCAAATGAAGTCAAAGGAGATTAATGAGAAGAAGATGACTCAATTAAGTTACTCTGATTAACATCACACACAACTAAGTTTAGGTCATCCATGACCGGACAACAAGCATGAGTGGGTTCGACATTCACAACCAACTTAGCACGAGAGTTATCAACAACAAAGGAATGCTCGTCCCTTCCAATAGTAGGAAAGTCTATGGCATTCGTAGCTACTAGGGGAGGGGAAGATAAGGGGCTAACAGAGATGTTCACACTAGGCATAACTCCCACACAATTCACTCCAGTCAAAATCAATGGAGAGTCAGTAGCCATAGGGTGAACAACTTGTTCGGGAGGGATAATAAGACAATCCTCAACATATCCATAATACCACAAACTTCTTCCTTCTTTCTCTTCGGTCGTTCCTCTCGTTCGTTGCAAATTCTCCCAAAATAACACTCCTTTAACGGTAGAAATGAGTGAATATGAAGCCATAGGATGAAGACTATCACCATCATCTTGAACAAACACATCAATCGAATCCAGCCGATGATCAACAATTGGACCAACACCATCACCAACAATACCATGCCAGCAGGAACTAAGTGAATTTGAGTATTAGGCAAAACATTATCCACTGGGGGATACATCATCAACCGCATTAGCAAGAGAATTGGTAGCAATCTTAGTCTTCTCAATACAATTAGGATGCAAAACACCACATTCCAAATTTGAATGACCAAGGGACTTGCAATGACCACAATATGTGGGAAAGTCCTCCATTTCAACCAATTGGATATACCCAAACTTATCCGGGCCAAGCTATAAACAATCAGGGTAATGTTTGGTAATGTTAATTTCCACGAGGACACGAGAAACAAATGAACGAGATCCCACAACAGTCGCATTATCCGTTTTCAACAGTTTTCCAAACAATGGCCCCAATCTATGAAGAATACAAGAAGAGAAGAAACGTGGCGCAAGTTAGGTAAATAGACCCAAATTAGAATGACAGGAGATTCAACATTAACATCAAAGAATGTGGACCATTTGGAAAGCTTCATATAAAAATTAAACACTAAATAATATCGATGGTAGAAGACCAGACTATAATCTAAATCATTGCTCAATTTGATCAGCACATGCTTAGCATTAAGCACATTAATAAAAAAAACTCCATTTAGTTTGAGATTAATTAAAGCAAGAAAATTTTATGAACTGCATTGATGGATGGTCGGTGAGCAGTTGGGAAGGAACCAACCAAGGAAAATTTGAATGGCGTCGCCAAAGCGAGAACCTCTTCCTCTGAAATCCAAAGTGAAGGTAAACCATGGGGTATAACGGATTTAAGCTCAGGGAATATCACCGGAGATGAACCCCAAAAATACCTCAAGAAAGGAATGGGAGGATGAGTTGTGGTCTAAAAAATTAGGGTCCTTCATACGATTAACCCCCATTCCGACCAGAGATGGACGGAGGAGGACAATCGCAAAGAAAGATAGAACACAAAAAGCAAGTACAAAGAGAAGCAAAGTAAAATGAAGAAAAACACAACCCAAACACTAGAGGCCGGAAAGGCGCTACCAAGGGCGAAACCCTAGCAGAGCATGAGATTTATGGCTAACTACTAAATAGTTAGATTGTTTGCATTTAGGTTTTGATTAATGCATCGATATTAAAAAAAAAAAAAAGAATGTGCAGAGATTGATATTGATAATCTTCCGCTGATCATGAGCTTCAACTTTCAAATTGAAGTTATGATGCCCACGAGACATAGATTTCGAAGAACATATATCTTGGTGAATGGATCCCACAAACCAAAAATTCATAATTTTCTCTAAACAATAATTAAATATATTGCATGGAGGACTAATTTAAAATGGTGAAGAATGAGGGTGTTTATCTTCTGGTTTACAGGATTATTACTTTAGCATTGATTTTACTAGTTGCTACAGCTATAGTTGAGAGAGCATTTTCTGCAATAAGGATTATCAAATATTAATTGCATATTAGAATATTTGATGATTGACTTAATGACCTTCTTGTATCTTATATTGAAAAATAAGTATTTGATTTAATTATCAATGAAATTGTAATGCAATATTATAAAAAAAATGCAGAACATATTGATGAGCTTGTAAGCATTTTTCAATTCATTGATCATAATAATGAACAAAATTTTGTTTTGAATTACATATTATTCATTTTATTTTTGTAAATTTTAATTTTTAAATTTGTCTACTCTTAAAAGATAGCATACAAAGATTCTTTATTTATAAAACATTAAATACACTACATGGTGCAAATGGTTCGATCCTTTCCTTTTTTTGGCAATTGTGTAGCCTGAGAGATATCAGTTTTTTTTTTTTTTCAAAAGTAAGCTTGGATACTTTTAGAATTGCAGAATAGCTTTTTTATTTTTTGTGTTCTATTTTGAGCAAATCAAATTAATTTTGATTTATTTAATTTGACTTAATCTTTTTATTTTTACTTTGTTTCTTCACCGGTTTACTTTTCAGCAAAGGCTTCCGCATAAACATTCAAGTTTTTCTAACATTGTATATTAATTAATTTTCCATGATCATTCCTTGTAAGTTTTGGGAATATACTCTAGCTAGAGAAAGTAATGTTCCTTCAGGAAACAAATTGCTCCTCTTGCTCATCAATTCCATTCCTTCCATTCTTCTATATAACGCATATAACATTTCAAGCTTTCATGCCATAGATAATGTTTCAGTTTCTAAAACCAAGATCGTCCATACCAAATGCCATATCTGTAAGTACAACAAACTTATATATGCAAGGAAAAAAAAATAAAAATCTGAAATAATCTCTTGGCACAATTCAATCCTCTCCTGCTTATTCCTTCTGTTTTCTCTATTTCTTCTTTCCTCTATTCTAAGACTGTGGAGCTCCAAGTCAATATGGATTGCAAAGGCTGTGAGAAGAGAGTGAGAAAAGCCATCTCCAAGCTAGAAGGTAACTAACATTACCTTAAACAACTTATATATACAAACCATTTTTAAAGTTAATAACATCTCTCTCTCTCTCTCTATGTATATATATTGCAGGAGTAGATACAGTAGAGATTGATATGGATAAACAGAAAGTAACGGTAACAGGTTATGTGGATCATGGAAAGGTTCTGAAGGTTGTAAGGAGAACTGGGAGACAAGCTGAATTTTGGCCATCTCCTTACGATGGAGAATACTATCCTTTTGCTCTTCAGTATCTGGAGGACTCAACTTACTCATCAACTTATAATTACTACAGCCATGGATACAACTCGAGTGTGCATGGATACTTTCCTGATCCTGCTTACACTGTGATCATTGATGATGATGCTGCAGCACTTTTCAATGACGATAATGTTCATGCTTGTTTAATAATGTAATGATCACTTACAAGCTTATGCTGCTTATGATAAATAATATGGAATGAAAGATTAAGATAATCATAATATTCAATAATTAAGTTTACTATACCTGATAACAAGCTGGTTTCAGACTTTTGAAATGATGGAAATTCGGGCAAAATTTTCAACAGATTTGCGAGAAAAGAAAAGGGTCAAATGCTCGTTGTCATGATGAATTTGTTTTTGCAGATAAATGCAAGCTAAATAATTAAAATAGAATGCTAGTTGAGCAAAGGCCGGAACAAGCTTTAATTTTCAGGGGGGTCAAACTTATAAGTAAATGTATATAAATTTTGCAGATATGTCGAGGGTCCAAGGGGATAGCTCCCCCTGGCTGGGTTCGATCTGCCCGGTCATGTTGCAGGATCAAAGGGCAGCGCCCCTGCGGGGGTTTCCGCAACTCCACCGAACAAATTTTGGTTGTAAGGATATTTTTGGATTCTCTTTACTATTTCTCTTTGTATTTGGTTCATTGTTCCCTAACAATATAACACATCTACACATTACCTAAAGACCATTGTATTTTAAAATTTTTAGGGGTGGCAATGGGTTAAAACCTCTTGTAATAAAGACTAAAAATAGATGACGGTGACAAATTACCTAAAAAATCATATAATATTTTTTTGAGGGGGTAGATCAACCCTTGAGTTTAGTAACTCCTAATATTACTTAAAAAATCATATAAATTACCCCCCGGGCTTTAGGTAGATCCGCCCCTGAGTTGAGCAGCTCCTAATATTAATTTTCACCTCTATTTCTGTTCAATTAAATTAATTCCCTTCTTTATATTTTAATCATTAATTGAGCCTAATATTAAATTTCACCTCTATTCTGCATGAGCATATATTCTGATACTACTTGTTGAAAATTATGAGGCATAGATGGCTAGAAAAGAAAAAGCTTGAATTCATTCTGTTGAGCAAATTGGTTCAATTATTCTAAAATTTAACACACTTTTGTATAGTTGCACTCAATTATGGCAACGTTTTTTGAAAAATTGACAGCCATGCATGTCTGTAACCACAACTGATAAACTTCTAATGGTATTTTGAGTTATTGCCTCTTTTTAAATCCTGTGATAAATATTCATTGTTTATCATGTATTTAATGATTAAAATTATTTTTTGATCAAGATTCAGTTATAACAATTTTTTAAAAAATTAAACTAATGTTTGCATGGTTTAAAATAATTGTGACTAATTAATGGTAATTGTTTCATAGATCATATTAAGGCTTCGTTTGGGATGATTTTCTTACTGCTTCTTAAAAATTGGTTTTAAGAAGCAGTAAGAAAGTCATCCCAAATGAAGCTTAAATTAAAAAAAAGTTATGATTAGAAATTTTAACCGCATAAAAAGTAATAATTCTTCAAAACTAGTAAAAAATTTAAGCAAAGATGTTTCTTAATTAATTTTAAGCATAAGTTTTAAAATAATTGTTATTATAAATTAATATTTAGTTACATCAAATTATGTTTGTAATTAATTTATGTAGCCTCAAAATTCTAAGTAGTGAAGCTAAACATGGTTTAAGCTTTTCTAATCTCTTATTACTGGATGATATCAAGATTTTCCAAGTTTTATATAGCAATAGAATGCAACAAAATCTGAAAGAGAAAAAAAAAGGCACAATTTAACAGCCTTTAATTTTATACCTTATAGAAATTGTTCTCAAAATTTGATATGCTAAATATGCCTAAGTCCTTTGTGCATATAAAAAGAGTAACAATGATAAGCCAAGTTGTAGATAAGGAGGCATTGATAATGAAGTAGAACTATTCCTTCATAAATTTGAGGCATCTACTGAATCAAAGCATTCAAGCATCAAATTTCTATCCAATTATATTCTTACTTCTCAGGCCATTTTACATCAAGCTCATCACCCTTGATTCCAAAGAAGAATATTTATAAGTAATAGACCCAGAATAAGAACACTGGCGGTTGATGAGTGCTCTAGATTTTGTTTGGGACGACTTTCTTACAGTTTTTTAAAGCAGCTAAATATTTTGTACTAAAAAACTTATTTAAGAAGCTGTAAGAGAAAGCCGTCCCAAACAGAAATATTCAATGATAAATCAATTGAGAAAGACATTAATTGACTAGTTAATTTCTTAAAAAAAAAGATTAAAGTTAATTTTGGAGTTGAATAAGTGAGTAGATGATCAGAAAAGATAGGGCATTGATTTGGGAAAATTACCGCACTTCCTGAAGAATCTGATGAAATTAATTTAAGTATGGAGAAATGATTTTTTTTTTTAAAAATAAAATACATTAATAAGAAGGGGTACAATCAAAGACCCAGATGGCCATAGCGATAGAATATAAATTAAAAATAAAAAGCAAAAGCACAACCTTATTTTCGGCCACGTCAACCCCTACCCCTGCCACGTGAGGTAACTTGCTTAACCGGAGGAACAGTCTGTAACGCAAAATCAGTTCCAAGTTCATCATCACCACTAGATATATATCCGACCCCTCCAACCAATCAAGTTGCTCACAACAGGAGCCATTAATGGAAGACTGATAAAGGCATTTTAATTCTTCATCAGAAATAAGAGAAATATGGACTTCAGTTAAAGGTTCACTGGACGACAGCTGAGGGGCCGTAGGGATAGAATCCTCCCCCAAACCCAAAGGCAGAGGAGCAAAATAGGAGGTTCCAACCTCAACAATAGGAGGAGACACCTCACAATAGTGATGTTTAATTAGTGATGTTTTTTGATAGGAGAGTAGTTATGCTCTAAATTTATCTATTTCGTTCATTAATATTAACTTTTTAAAAAATTAAGGGTGATTCTAATCTTTCTTTTTGTTACATTGTTTTGGCTATTAAAATTATGATAATCTTAAAATTATTCAGTCTTCCTGCTATTTAGATTACTTTAATTTAGACTATATATTGATTTAGTTTATCTTAATTTTAGTGGTAGCAAAAATCTAATAATGTATGTGGGTGATATCCACTTACTAGCATGAAAGCTTTGAGAGTATGACCAAAACTTATGTAAGATTGAAGAGCGATTAAGAGAAAGAGAGAGAGAGAGAGGGCGCTTTGTAGAGAATAGTCTAGTAACTATAACATATATAATTCAAGTGCTCTAGAATACAAGAGATATTGAACATATTAAAAAGATCTAAAATATTCTATTTCATCAGTTATTTATAGGTATTCAATTGCTACAACAAACATTGTATTAAATAAAAATGAATAAAAATATATGTTTTAACGACTCTTAATAGAAACTCCCTTAAAATTATATTACACTCTGGTTGGTTGGAGGGGAACTTGCTTCTGGCTTTGATTATTTCAACAGTGCAAAGCGCGTACAGACAAAGTAGACATAGGCGAGCCCATTAGTGAGTCTATCTCCAGCTGAGGAGATTTGTGACTGGCAAGTGCTCTAAAGTCATTAGAAACCTGTGTTGTAGCTTTGGATGAAAAGGTCAGTGAACTTGAGCTGCAGTAAAGATAGGCTTCGTGGTCGGCTGATCATGATAGGATGAGCTAATTAAGAGACCCTTAAGAAGATGGTTTCCTGTACTAGCTAAGGTGGCAAGTACGATTGATGATACTCCACCATGAGTGATGGTGAACAGCTTTGATTGCTTGTCCTCCCATAAGATGAGCAGTGAGTTGCATGATCCACGAGGATCCTAGGTTGTTTATGTGGGAGGCAACTCTATTATGAGCTAGATCTCATGATCTTAAGGGTGAGATCCTTTTTGGTCCCTATTATGTACTAGCACTTCTATTATGACCTACTGACTACTTCCTTTATACCTGAATACTCCCACATATCTAAGATAAGTTGATGTCCTATACTAATGTTGATGTGGATCTGTTAAAATTTTATGCTAATGAACAAAATTGTTATGTGAAATTCATCGCAAAAGATCATATGATATTGGATTTAATTTGGGATTTGTGCAATCCATAGTTCTAGTGAAAGATGAGGCCTATATTAGATGTCCAACTAAATTCAAAAATAATAAATGGGAATAAGGCCAAAGCAAAACTTGATATACTTCTCTTAAAAAAAAAAAAAAAACTATTCAATTATTATATTATCGATCTATCATAAAATTAAGCAATTACAACGCAGCCTATCATAATATTATCTAAACTTGGCTTATCATGGAATTATTGCCACTCTTCTTATTGTATAATTATCATTATGTGCAGTGTTATAATATTATGTCCTCTCAATTTATCTTGGGTATATAATTACTTCGATCTTCTATCTCAACTCGGCATACTAATTTAGCTCAATTATTAGTTTTATGTGGAATCTGATTGTGTCGCTTAATTGAGTTGTACTGCTATATTGGACTTCAATTTCATCGGTCGAGCTTGCCAAGGGTTGCAGGGAATCTTCCCCTTGTTCGGACTCAGGTGCTTTGCACTAGCGAATTTTTTTTACGTGCAACAATACTTCACTGCAGTGATGTGTACCCGAGCATTACGACACTATATTGTGTGGTTGGAGGCAAACAGAGTGCGGATCATCATGGTGATTCAAACTCTTATGGCGTGACACTGCATTATCTTGTTGGAGGCAAAAAAAAAAAAGTAGAGTGCATGCCGCGGAACTCCAAACTTCGATGCTGCGGCGCTACGACTTAGGCATGTGGCAGAGAGTAAAGCGCTGAGGGGCTCTAAACCCCGACGCTGCGACACTACTAGACAGACTGGAGATAAAGAGTGGAGCATTGTGGCGCTCGAAACTTAGCGTTGTAGTGCTGCGAGATGAGTTTGCAGTATTTTTTTTTCTTGTTTTTCATGAAAGGTTGTGTCTCTTGGTGGCTTTAATGTGTTTCACTTTGTTAGTTCTAATATGAAAATAGTGAAAAAGTGAAGAGACAGAAGGACAGAGTGAAAGAGAAGAGAGATTTATATAATTTCTCCCAATTTTTGAATTTCTTGGTGTGGTGTGGGTATGTGGCTTTTTCCAATTTCAAAATTTTCCACATTAAATTCTGATGTTCTTTCTTTTCGCTACAATATTCTATTTCTTATTTATTTTGCTATGTGATTTTACT